ATAAATTTTACAACAACTTGATTACGTTTACTTAGCCATGTTTGTGGTGTATAACTTAATAAATTTTCTAATGAAAATCTATTATTATTTCTGATTAGAGATTCAATATCTTCATATAGAAATTCCCTTTCAAGTTGTGTAATAGTTATAATTTCTTGAATACATTTATCTTGATTGCTATGTCGAGAATTCCACTGTTCAATAAGTTTCTCATTCATTTCACATTGCTTTTGATATAGATCTTTTAATTGAACTATCTCTTCACAATATTCGCTTATTCTTTTTCTCAGCTCTGTCATTTCCCATTTTGAATTTCTATTTGCAACAAAAACTCTGTAATCGCATTAGTGAAGTGTGTTATGTTTTCACTATCTTCTCTTTTAACTTGACCTCTATCGAATAAGTTCTCAGCTTTGTTAGACTCTACAGACAAGCGTAGCTCTTTAAAACTAGTTATCTCTTCATCAACCCTAGAATTAGAAATAGAATTATTGTCAGAATTAGTATCAAATCGAAATTTCTTAACTTGGCGAATAGAGAATGAGAAAGATGAATTACAAGCAAGCTTAACACTAAAATTATTGTATTTTCAGGTCTCATTTACATTTTTAAGAATCATTGATCCCAAAAAGTTATTGATTGATCCTTGAACTAGAAATTCTTTACTATTGATTTGTATAGTTTTAATTGTATGTAAATATTATAAAAATCTCAAATTCACAATTGAAAGATTGAATAAAATAGTAAAAAGCATCGATCAATAGCCAATCAAATTCTTGCAGATTATTCTAGAATCGATTTCCATATTTGGTAAAATTCCTGACTGAACTTCTCTATTACTGACAATATGAAAGATAACAAAAAACTACAAACTACCTTCTCTATACACCTATACAATTTTCTTAAAAAATATCTCTACAACTTTTATCAAGGTAGTATCATTAAAGAAGCAACCCACAATTATAAACCTTTAAAAGCAAGCTTCTACCACACTATTCAGAAAATAGCTAGAGAACACTCTTAATTTTTAATTAACTATATCTTTTAGCTTTATCAGGATATCAATAAAGATACTACTATTCATCAGATATATAACTCTCTCTGCTGATCACTCGTACCAAAATTGCAGACAAGAAAAACCTGCTATTTATAGAAAAACAGTATAATAAACTTAACAAACAGCTTTAAGAAAAAAGAAAGAGTGCACAAAACAAACACTAGTTTATTAGTAGAACAAACCACTCCAACAACTAGTGCAAGCAACAACGTGCAAAGAAAGAATTTTTGCACACACGACAAAAACATAGAAAAATTGTTTAGAATTTTTTGGGGAATCTGTGTAGACCCTGTAATGTCGATCTGTTTACAATACAAAAGTAAA